AAAATTTAAAATACTTTTTTAATCTTTTTTTGTTTGTTATTCAATGAATATTTATTTAAATTATATAAAATTTTAAAATATATACTTGATAATCTAGTAAATAAGTTTATAGTAACTATAAAGATTATATTAAAACTTTAATCAATCAGATATTAATATTATTAATTTACAATTTTATTATTTAATTTATATATATAATTTATAAATAATATAATTTCTCAAGAAGCAAAAAATTATATTAAAAATAATTTTAATAATTTTGATCTTTTATCTAGAAAAATTTATGCATAATATATAAGTAATAATTCTGATTTATTAATCTAATAAAGATATATTTATTATCAATAATTATAATTAGAATAAGTTTATTATAAATATAATGAAAATGCATTCAAATTTGCAAGTTTGTAATTACAGAAGAATTAGAATAATATTATTTTAAATAAAAAAGATCCTACTTATATCTTAATATTGAATACTAGAATATTTAAAACTCGAATCAACTTGAAATTATTACTAATGAATATGAAATTGGCTATATATATTTATTTATTTATATAATTATATTTAATTTTATATTTTTATTATATAATAATTATATTCTTAAATATTATATATATTCATGATTGTGACTTTCAAATAAGAAGAAAAATTATTTTACAAATTCTGTTTTTTAATTATAATAAAAAAAATATAAACTATTTTGAAAAATATAAAACTTACATCCAATTATATCCATTTACTTCCTACTATTATTTACAATATTTATACAATGTAAAATAAATTCAGATGTATTTTTCAAATTTGTAAAATTATCTTTTATCATTTCATATAACAATTCTATTTCAATAATTTCTGATATCTTAATGATTTATGATATCATATTAATTAATAGCTTTTTTTCTGTTTAGAATTTCTCTGATGATAATTATTACAAGTACGATATTATTTTAAAGATTTTTTTAAATTTATAAATTCATTAAGAGGCGCAAGCAGAACAAAAAGGATGAGCTATTGAAGATATTTGCATTTTAATAATAATTGGCATGATAATTCCAACTGCCAAAGAAATAGATAAAGTAAGATATATCATTAGACCGTTCTCATGTCCATTTGTTTTCCAAACTTCAGCCGCTTGTAAAATGTATTACCATGAGAAATCAATATAATTTTCAGTAGTCTAGATAAAAAAATAATGATCGTTATTGTTATAATTACGCATTGCGATTTCAGCATCTGTATTTTAGAAATGTATATACCCCGATACCGATACATTTTTTTAATACATCTTCCCACCCATTGATATTTCTTTTTTCGGCAATAAGATTTTCTTGTAATTCAAAGGATCCGACTTTGTCTACTTTGGAATTAAATTATTAGTTGAGTGAATTAATTGGATACCTTAGATTAAGACTGGTGAGCCCATTCTGAGGAAACTATTTACACTATTGGAAAGAACAGCAAAATCGAAACTTTTTTCTTCATCAAACAACAATTGGCCGTCTCTATCAGTTGGAATTTTGAAACGCATTTAGTGAATTTTGTATGACATGACTTTGCTCACCAAAATGGTCGCTCATCCATTACATAACCTGCTGGATTTTGTATATTATGACTTTGTCACCAAATGGTCACAATTTCGTACACAATCTATAAATATCCGCATATAAATATCCGCAGCGTTAATTTTTTTCTCAAGTTAATTTTTGTAGCTGGAATAATAAAAAAGATCACAACGCAATTATATTTATTATCGCTATACATACTATTGCCATCATCGTCTTCATAGATAGATTAGACAGGCTTCGAAGTTCTCAAGCAGTTGATCTGTTTTCTGGAAGCGGATCCCAATAATAAATTGGTCATATTCTAATTTAAGATGTATATCATGACCAAATGGTTAACCTATAAAAAATATCTGCAGCGTTAATTTTTCAATTAATAAATGTATCGGTATGCACATATACATGTATTATTTATCGTTATTACCAAAATTTATCATACTATTTGTGTTTGGAAATCGCCGATTTTATCACGACACGGGCAAATGAGTTTTTTGGTCACGCTCAAAAATATGTGAAAATTGTGCACATTAAATGTAAAAATCATTTGAATAGATTTTGAAATATGTGAAATAACTAAATTTTTATTTATATTTCAAAAAAATTTGATGAATACTGTGCACATTCATATTATGCACATTAATTTAAAACAAGGTTTAGCTTAATACTTTCAAACATAATTAAATAAATTAATATCAAAACATAAGAAATTTCGACAATAACAATAAAACTTGAAGAGCAGAACGAAAGAACAAATTAACGAAAGAGGTATAGTAGCGGTAGAACGAAGAACGAAGCAATGAAGAACAAAAGAACGGAAAGAACAGAACAAAGTACGAAAGAACAAATTAACGAAAGAGGTATAGTAACGGTAGAACGAAGAACGAAGCAATGAAGAACAAAGAGACGGAAAGAACGGAACAAAGTACGAAAGAACAAATTAACGAAGAACGAAGTAATGAAGAACAAAGGGACGGAAAGAACAGAGCAAAGTACGAAAGAACAAATTAACGAAAGAGGTATAGTAGCGGTAGAGCGAAGAACGAAGCAATGAAGAACAAAGTACAAAGAATAAAAAAATGCACGAGCTAATGAATAACATCATTTAATAAAAACTTACAAATAATATTACTTGTAGGAATAATTCATAATACAATTATAATTGATTGGAATAGATTATGAATGAAACTGAAAGGAGGTAGGTAAATGCTTTAAAGATAGTTAAGTGTGTCCAGTGCATCTTAATAAATTATCAAAACTGACATGAATTATATTTTGACATAAATACTTGTGTGAGTGATTGTGATTGAGACAAAGATAAAGATATAAATGATGTTAATGGAGTATCAATTAAACTATTGTCATCATTACTGGTATTAATTTCGTTTGATTTTAACGAAGTTGACCCGCTTAAAGTAGTTTCGTTCATATTTGTATTATCGTTATTGTTACTATTTTCTGAGAAAAAAAATAAAGTAGGAAATGGCAATTCATTAAATGTATCGTCGTACGAATTTTGAGCATTACTGAATGAGTCTCGATGATTATAAAGGGTCGTTGTAAAATTGTTCGTATCATAATTATAAATGGCTGTAGAAGTTGCTGATGTTACAGATGATAACCTGTCGATTTGTATCGCTTCTTGAGGTAAACTGAAAGGCAAACATAACGATTCGTCGATTTGTGCTTCTTCAAGTGAACTGGAGATTAAAGACAATGATTCGCCAATTTGTATCGCTTCTTGAGGTGAGCTGAAAGTTAAGGATGGTGATTCGTCGGCTCGTATCTTTTCTTGATGTGAATTGAAAGTTAAGGGTGATAATTCGTCAATTTGCACTACTTCTTGAGATGAAACGAGATTTTCTATGTTGGACCTATCTAGCGAAGTAAACCTATGTTCTCGAAAAATAAATTCTTTGCAACTTGATTTCTTCGCATATTTTGGTGTATATTTATAGCTTGGATATATAAGCTTATGATTTTCATAAGCTATTTTTTGCAATATTTTAAAAAAATATTTGACTTCATTTGATTGTTTTTTCCACTGTAAGCTGCATTCCTTTGCTGTATTTTTTACTTCTTGCTTTACATCCGGGCTGTATAAACGTATACTAGCCTCATAATCTTTACGAAATATAATCCAACTGTTTTGTGGGCGTGGGGGTTTGTCGCGTTTTTTCTGAATAGGATTTGTCAATTCTTCGATCGTGAGGGTTAAACCATAAGGACGTTTAGCCAAAAGTTTCCTTTCAGATTCTGATAAATATTTAAGATAACTCATTTTCATTTTTTTTTAACAAGGTGATCGAGTTTGATAACAATTTTGAATAAGAAAATTCATCCATTTTATATGGAAGAAAAACGCGCATATTTCTGATATACGTACATGCATAAAGCGAGCGGGGCCATACATGTGCATGTAAATTTGAGAAAAGTACGGAGTCCACTCCGTAATAATTTCTGTCGGAGTCCACTCCTTAATAATTTCTGTCGGAGTCCACTCCGTAATAATTTCTGTTTTTGAAACCTTCTCGTCCATCAATCACGTTTCAATCACGTTGACCGAACCGCGTAATATTGGGCACGGGATCAGATCTCGTGATTAGTGAAATTAGCAATGTACGGGGTTAGTGAAGTTAGCATATGCAACCGGATGCAGCGATGCAAAGACTCAGATTGATGCATCGTTGGGAAGATGGTCTGATATAGAGTACACCAATAAATCCCTGAATATATGAAGGTGTACCAATAAGGCGCCGACTAATGAATCAAAACAAAAATGATTCATTAGTCTTGGCGACGCGATAAAAGTGGGATCGCGAAGAGAATAGTGGGAGGAAATTTGATTATAAATAAGGAGGGCTTTAGAGTAGAAAAACTATACAATTAAGAATTAAGTTCAATAGAACTATAAAATAATTCACCATTGTAATAAAAGTTTTTATTAAATAAAATAAAGATTGCTATTATTCTTAAATAGCACATACATTCCTTCAATCATTATTGATCTGTCCCCACACTCTCTATTAATAAAGTTAGGCTACGAACACTAAATAACGAAACTACAACACCGCGACCGACGAATTGCCTTCTTAGGCAGGAACTAGCGCCATGACTTGGAGAACCCGATCAACTCGATAAAGGGTCGGAGTATTGATCGACGAAATTATAAATTAACGGAAACCTAACTGGGAAACAACCCGTGATCGTACAGTCTCACGGATCTATTCCACCGTTTAATTAACGTGGGAACAAATAAAAAACCATCTTTAACAATAAACGTGATTTTCTTCAAGTGGCAGTTTCTCGCGACCGCAGAAGGTAGTTTCATAGGCAAAATTTCGAGATACAAGCTATTTTTCGAAAATAAACGCAAAACCGATACGAATTACACAAATCAAGATAACGATGATATCTTTATATACCACATAAGAAACAGAACGTCATTGAACTGCTTAATAAGGCAATGGACGTGTGTATTTATGAGTCATTTTTTATTTTTAATATACTCATGCACAAAGTAAGGCTTAAAATTTCTCTTTTTAAGATTTATTATTGGTATATTAGTGATCTTAATTATCTTCTAATTAAAAAACTATAGCAAGTAAATTTAAAAATTGACTGATCGATAACATATGCTCTTGGTGGTTGTTACATATCAAATGCTTTACAAACATAGTAAGCACTATATAAATGGTGCACTGTTCAAGTATTTTTGTTTTTATAGTAATATTAAAATGGTTTAAAAAAATTAATAAAGATATTATAAAAAGGTTTGGTCTCTTACCAACTTGTATTCTAACTCTAAATACTTATATATTTTAATGGATCTCTATAACCACCAAATTTTATATTTTTATTACTTTTAATCAAACAAAACCAAAAAAATGTTTAAAAATTTTAATTCGTTCGAAATGACAATAGGGACAATAAGAATTTCTATAAGAGGTATTTGGATATGCTATACTTTGTGATCTAGTTATGGGGTCAAATGTAAATTTTACCAAGTTGCAGAACCAAATTTATAGTTATTATAGTTTGGATCAAAAATCTTTTACATAGTGAACCTTGATATAACGAATGGTCCGGGTCTATTAGTAAAAATTTGTCAAAAATTCATTATATCATGAGTTTTTTAATTGATTCATTATATCCAAAGATTTTTATTATAAAAGGATCTGAAACTCAAATTCACTAAATCCCGAATTTAATCAGTATTGGTTACGTAGTATATTCGTTACATCCAGATTAACTATGTGTCGATATAGTGTATACAGTATACATGTATTATATTTGCTAATATGTCACTGCATAGAGAATTTAATCGCTTTTTTATTTTTTACAAGTTTTCTAACAGATTTGCTATCTTGGTAAATATCACTGCAATACTAATACTTTATCTTTTTTATTGATTATTTATTTAAATCACTAATTATTATTTTAATAATATAAAGAAGTCACTCAAATTGTTATTAATAAAAATCTTTCTAAATTTATAAATAAATATTTATTATATAGAATTATGACAGATGAAAATATAAGTGAGAGGGGATGTGACTATGGCGGTGATGTGGCGCAATAAATCTCTTTCCTATAGCTAAAAAGTATGAGCATGTAACTTGATCAATATAACAAATAATTCTTTAATACCCTCTATAAATGGATTTTTTTTAAATTTGAAACCACGTGTAACTAAACAAAAAAATAGACCCTTATGTTTATTATTGGAAAAACGAGTTATTATTATTATTTAATAGAACATGTATGCGTTTTTTGTCTTGATTATGTTGTAAAACATTAGTTTGCAATTTATTATGTTTATGATAAAACATATTGCCCTATGACGTAAGATAACGACAAATTTCGTGTACATAGACACGGGATTTGGCGATCTGTACTTTCTGTGCGAAAAAGCCAGTCATTTATTAGCGATAACCCAAATTAACCGTTAACAAAAAATTTTTATTATATTAACGTTAATATTGTTTGTTTTTTGTAAATCTACTTACACGAATTTTATAAATAAAGTAATTTTTCTTATTGCAAACAGACTATCTTATAACTAAAACGAAAGCTTAGTCTTAAGATAGCTAAGCTTAAATGTAAGTACCATAAAATAAGCAACTTTCCTCGAAAAAGTTGAATAAGAACCCTTTATTAAAATTTTTATTTAATTATTATATCGATATTCTAACTCTTCAGTAGAATTTTGACTAACCCAGTTATATTATATATATTTTCTACTCCGTTGTGTTAGACGCAATTTTTTTGTTTGTTTCTCATGCATATAGTCCATCCTTTAGCCGTCCATTACCTAAACTGCTCGAATTTAAAACAACCCTTTAATTTTTTAACCCCAAAATGACATGGGGGGGGGCAGTGAACAAAATATATGTGGGACCGAGAATTTTCCGTTCATTTTACCGTTACCGGTTGAATAAAAATTTAACGGATTCGGGTTTCAAATTTTGGCAGTCCCTCAAAAATTTTTCTAACCTCCAAATCTACATATAATTGGTCAATAGTTATCATCGTCATTTTTGTTGCCGTAATCTAAATTTGGATTTAATCAAAAAAAAATGAAAAAGGTATATTAGGATTTCACAAAAAATAGCATTTTAAAGGTTTGAATAATTTTTACTATGTATTATTTATTTAATATAGTGATAAAAAAATAACAAGACATTACTGATATTTGAAGATATTGAACGCGAAATTGAAACGGGTTTCTTCAGCAACTATTAAAGCTGAAATTTGGAAAGAATCAGTAGAATCGCCAGCATTTGGTATAATTATTGATGAAAAGTACAGATATTATAATTGACAAAAACTTAATAATTTATGTAAGATATACAATTAATGGAATTATTAAGACGCGTTTTCTCAAATTATATTCGTTGACATCTGCTGATTCACAAACTATCAGCAATATATTGATCACTTTACTCAAAACAAAAGGTAATTAAATAATAACTGATTTAAAATTTTGAAATTTTAAATAATTATTTTTTATTTTAGTTTTTAAAAAAATTAATATCATTTGCTTCTGATAGTGTATCAGTAATGTAGCATTAATAACCCGTCAATATTCATTATTACCAATCATTGTCGCACATCGCTTAGCATTGATATGTAAAGATGCTGAAAAAAAGTGGACCTTTGTCAAAAAGCTGAGTTATTAATGAAAATGATCTATTCTTTTTTTAATAAGTCAACAAAACATTTAACCTCTTCCTTTAAAGATTTTTAAATATTATTGGATCACCCAATTTTGAAAACTAAAAAAATTCAAATTTTTGATATCCATGGTATGAAGCAGTCAAAAATATTTGTGAATCTTTATTACCCTTATTAGATACTTTTACTGCTGATAATAATAAAAAAAGAGGATATTTTAAATGAACTTTTTAATTGGCGTATGCTTGGTTTTTTCTTTTTTCTTTATGATATTCTTGGTCATCTTTTTCATTTAAGATATTAATCCTATGATTAATTCCACAATTCAAAAAAATCGAATCAGAATATCTTCCTAATTCTGATAATAATATTTTTTGAATTAACTAATCCTTTTTAAATGAGGATTTTTTTTATTAACATCCTCTTGATTTTAATCTGGATACTGATTATAATGATTTAATTATACGGATACTTGGAGAAGATGGAATAATGAGATTAAACGATGTCTTTGATTGATATTTGTATTTTATCTTTTAATGTTTAATAAAAATTCATATTTTGATCTTTTTTTTGTAATTTCGAGTAACCGGGGATTTTCCGGTTAATTAAAAATTTACCGGCTACTTAAAAAACTAGCCGGTCAAATCCGAAATTTTAAAGTACTCTTTTGTTCACTGCTTCCTATCCGTGACCTATAATTGTTTGTCATTATGTCATTGTTTCATTGTGTCTGAAATTAAAATTCTTCAATTGTATCACAAGCTTCTAAAGTCCATATTGATACGAATGTGTTAAAGTTCCAACTTACATGATAAAAGCAAATTTGTAATCGCAGTGAATTTGACATATTCTATCATTGTCACGCTGTTTTTCTTTGCATAACTCGCTCGATTACAATAATTCTAAAGAAAAAAATTTTTTATTTTGACTCACAAAATGAGATAAATCAAAATTTTTGTAAAGAAAAATACAATTAAAGCATAGAATATAATTAATAATTACAATAAGAAAAGTTCGGTTACTGCATGTATAATGGAAAAATCAAAGTGATTAATCTCGAATACAATAATAAAACTCGCTGTGGAAGTTTTTAATTAGATATTTTCGAAACATCCAATTATTGTATTATAGAATATGTTATCCAGTAAAGTTTGGGAAGATTAAAAATAAAATAAATACATATCCGTAATTGTATTTAAGGATGAAAAAATTTGCAACTATTTGTTAGATGTAAAAAAAAATTTAAAAAGATCATATTGAATTGCTTAAAATAAATCGAAACGCAAATTACTTTGCATCAGCTTTTTCCTTGTACTCCTCTTGTTCGTTATCATGTGAATAACGTATATTCTCTCGTAAATTGATCTTTTGACTTTTATCAGAAAATTTTTGTACATGTACATGTACAGCATAATGTATGCTCACGTGTTGTTCTCGTGTTATGATGGATGCGTTGGAATTGGTTTTATATCAAAGACGACGTATTTCGTCTTTGGCTTCGGTATTTTTCGAGCATTATTGATGACGTACGGACCAGCGGATAAGAAGTGAAAGGAAAGGACCTGCGGATAAGATGCTTCCAATATCATTTCCTTTGGAAGTTGTGGTTGACCCGCCAAAACGCTGTGGAGTTGACTGGTCTATGGAATTGAAGATGTCACACCATCTTCCCATTATCTTTTATAAGTAACTAATAATATAATAAAAATAGTTTTTATAGTCAACCTCTATGTTCACCTAATACCTAATTTGAGTTTTCCAAGAGAGGTGAATATAGAGGTTTGAACAAAAGTTCATTGAATTACTAAATTCAATATGAATTATTTCGATAAGAAATTAAAGTTTGAGTTATGATAATGTAAAATGTAGCTGCTTGAAATGATGCGTGTGCTTTGCGGTGCGGTTGCAGCAAAATCTTTTTATAGTCACCAGTTATTAAAAACAAATAAAAAACTGATTTGATTTTTCCAAGAGAGGTGACTATAGAGGGATTATATGTATAATGTTTTTGCGTGTGGGTTTGCTGCTTTGCCTTTATGTTATTAACCGTAATACTTTTGCATATGCTGTTATATGCTTTTAACATAATGCTTTCCAGGGATGAGGAGTTAAAAACGAAATAAGATATCGGAGATGTTTGAAAGGTTGAGTGGTATCATGAGAAAAAGTGTTTATTATATATATATATATATATATATTCTTTTTGTGGCACACAACTGCCGCAGTGTTAATAAAAGAATGGGAAAAAAAACAATTGATGATTTTTTAACAAAGCTAAAAAGCAATTTTATACTATGATTTATCTGACCGGAAATGATCCAATATAATTTCTTTAATTAGTATACATGTATGCTGTAACGGTAATAAGCATGTGCAAAAGAAATCGTTATCATCGTAAGAAAAGTTTAATGCATTTAAATGTAGAGAAAAATAACTGTTGAAACTTAACAAATTAAGAATTTCTTGTTTAAACAAGACCAGATGCTGGCTCACCTCACACGGTGCCGGCCGGAATTAAAATAATAAGTGTATTGTTGCCGTCGCGACGAAAAATCCCGTGATTACCAATTCTGGAACGGCGCATGTGATGTGTTGCGAAAAACCTTAAAAATAAAGTATTCCTATTGTCCCGTATCACCTGAGCCAACGAAAATTCATACATCAACATTGATGTCGCTTCACAAAATTCTTACTTTCTGGTGTCAACATCAACACTGTCTTCCCAATAACACGAATTTCCTACAAATTCTTACTTTACGTTCCCAAGAATGTGATTATTAATAGAAAATCTTGCAAACATTCGAAACGTACGTTATTCCCTTAAACCATAGAATTTCTTACAAAATTCATACCAAAACTCACATTTATATTGTACATAAATAGTTTTAATCATAATTTTATTATTATTCTTTGTTTTGAAGCATAGTCATGCCTCTTTTTGTAAAAAATTCATACTTTATACGTAGGAACCCGCGAATTCTTGCAGTAAACTTACGATCTAGTGCAGAGGAACCAAACTCTATGTAAAGATGGCTATCGAAGGAATGAGAGATAAGTCAAAGTGTGGTTTGAAGAAAAATAAATAAAAATTATTTTTAACGCTTACCTAAAAGCGCTTCGGCTTTTATACCTTTTTGTGTCTTAACAAAATCGATAGCTTTATTTCTTTTGTACTTAACAAAATCGAAGGCTTTACCGCTTTGGCCATACAAAGCTGATGATTCTTTGTCACGTTTGTTTCTTTGATTTGATTATTTGACTTTTAATTATTTTGTTGAAACCCTTATTATTGTTTCGGAATAAACCTGATTTTGTGGTTTGGATAAAGTATTTTTTGAGTTCTATTATGAAAGTTTTAATAATTATTTTTAAAATTATACTTTGTTAATAATTAGTTATTACTTTACTTTGTTGAATTAAATATTATTATTGTGACAACATTTGTATAGTAGTGAACAGTAAAGCATCAATTTTATTGACGCTGCTTCTAAATTATATAGCTTAAAAGACAAATTATTAGCTTATACAAAAATCAACTTTACAAAAATACTTGCTATCTAGTTTAGTTAAGTTGCACATCTAAATACGAATATGTATAGAACATTGCATACATCGATTTATTGAAAAACTTCCCTAAATGCACATAAACGCACCCACTAGTCTGGTCCTGAATTTTAATTTATTATTACATACGCATACTCTATATATGTATGCATAAGCAATGCTTGTTTATATTGAAGTTTTTTTTTAAATTTAGACATTACGTTCATTTTAATACGTGTATATACAGTGGTGCTCAAAAATACTGATGATAAATTTCGCGATATAGTAACGTTTCATATACAACGTCAATGTGGTCGACATAAATATTCGGAATGTCGATCTGGTGCAACTAAAATTGGGATTGCTTTGTTTAATAATAAACACAACAACGTAACCATTTTTGCCGTCAGTTTTTGCACCCGTTAGCAAAAAAATAAAAAAAAATTGCCACCCATTTCCAAGCGCGAAGCACAAAGAATGTCAGCTTTGGGCAAATAATATCCGGAAACCTGCAGAAATTGTGCGAATAACAGGTTTTCCTAAGTCTACAGTGTATGATATAATCAATCGGATTAAAAAATTATCAAGTATTATGCCACTTCCCGAACAGACTATGGCGTGACATGACGTTTTATACAGTCCTATGTTTTATGTCATAGTTTTGATCATTTTATTACAGAACGCAGTACCACGGGACATCCATGATGGAATATTATGTCTTCGTAGATACCGTAAACGTAAACCATCTGTTAAAAGTCCAGTCTGGTTAACTCGACTCTAGAAGTCGAGTTTTGATTAATAGCTCGGTCTAAAGTCAAACTCGAGTATAAGCTCACTCGTCATGTGATATGCAATTTTATTACATAAAAATATATAATGAGATGTATTATTTTTATAATAACGGTTTATTCTATAATAGAGACTTGTATATTAATATAATAATATTAAAATCGGTATTTTTTGTAATTAAATAAATAATATATTCTTTAATATTAATATTTTTAATTGACTTTGTTTTGAGAAAAATTATATTCTTTAAATTATCTTAAAAAAAATAATTACGTTATAAGGATAGCACTTGATCTCATCATGTGATTTTTGAGATTGGTCCCTCGAGTCAAAACTCGACTCGAAATTGCCCCGGGCCAAAGTCGACTCAAAAGATTGACTCCATGAAGTTTTTTAACATCTCTGCTTAATACATGATGGTGATTAAAATTGATAGTTTATGGTAAATGGCGTTACGGTTTTTGCCATGCCAATGTATCATTGCGATGTATTTATCTCTGTCCTTTGATTCGGGTAGTGATCCTACGAGATTGATAGCCACTCTCCCAACTTTCAAAGAACGTAGAGACTCGTTGATACGTATTCTTTTATGTCCTCATACATTTTATATCAATGATATTTGTAGGCGAACCTACAACAGGCCATCTTGTTTATTTATTATAATATCGAAACAAGGAACCAAAACATTTTAGAAAATGATTTTACAGATTCTTATGACTATCTCAAATACTTAATATGCTCGCATGACTTGAACAGATTAAAAAATTTTTGGAATCATCTCATGAAGTACTTTAAAAAGAAAATTGCAATAACGATAATGCATTTAATTTTCGCATTTTAACAAATTTTGATTGGATCATGTCGCTCGATAGATGCTGTGCTTCCTTAAAAAATTAAATTACGTATTCTGAGAAAATTTTAAAGAAACAAGAAGTTACACCAAATCTCATGATACATGTACATGTACTAATTACGTAGTACCTTTAACCACAATACATAAAAATTTGAAAATGAATGACGATGAACCAGAATATTATTCACTTTTTCAAGGGAATATAAGCTCTAGTTCAGAAAGTGAAAGTGAAGTTGATTTGTCTGGCAGAGGAACTAAAAATGAGCAACCCACGAATATTTATTCACAAAATTATTCATTAAGAATGGAAATCGATAATAGTAATACAGACGAAATGGAATTTCAGGCTGTGCAACAACTGGAATTTAGTAAATTAGATCCACTTTTTGAAAACGAGAATCTGGGAATGATACAACATTTTGACGAAGATGACGATGAGAACGACATTGATCTAAGTAGAAATATCGATGAAAAATGTAATCAATGTGGACAAAACGTTAATTTTAATAAATGGTGCAGAGAATGTAATGAAATTCATTTTCGCGAATTATTTGATTCTTGGAGCACAGAAAATCGTGAATTGGATTTATTGATTCAACAAGCACAATTGAATTCAACACGAAGTATTGAAGTGATTGAATTTATATCATTCGAGCAATTTAAAGATATTGAATTAATTGAAGAAGGCGAAAAATTTGATTTGTATACTGCTGTTTGGAAAGATGGGCCAATTGAAGGTTGGAATGCATTGGAAAATAGATGGAATAGACGACCGAGTCTTCGAATTACTTTGAAACAATTTAAACACGCTGAAGAGAAATTCGAAATAGCCTATGATGAGGTATTTCTTATATTTGGTAATTTCTATATTTTCACATTTACATTATTCCCATTTTTGTTCTAGTTGCATTCATATTACGAAACAACGCATGCAATTGGAATGTCAGGTCCGGATTCAGTAATTCGTTGTTTCGGAGTCTCGCGACATCCATCAACCAACGATCATATCATCATTTATGAATATGCACAACAATGGACGGTACACGAATACATTGGTCAAAATTTCTCGACAATTAGTTGGCATCAAAAATTATTTTTGTTAAATCATATTGCACGAGATATAGCAAATATACATCAACTTTCTTATGTTTATGGTGATTTTTATAATTGCAAAATTATCTCCCGTTCTCAACGTTTATTTCTCATTGCAGATACAATCAGTGAGAGATTTAAAAATTTCACCTCTTATGAAGAAACCGAGAAAATAAATCCAGTAATACCATTCATTGCGCCAGAAATTCTCAGTGGAAGAGAATACACCAAAGCTTCAGATATTTATAGCTTTGGAATTGTGATGTGGGAGATTTTAAATGGTGAAAGACCATTTGCGGATCACGCTAGCACAGAGAGTCTAAAATATGAGATATGTAATGGATTGCGGCCAGCAATTTCTAGTTACAGACCTGAATGTTACATCGAATTGATGCGTCGATGCTGGGATAATGATCCTTGTAGACGACCGACTGCGGAAGAATTGGTTCACATTGTGGCGAAGTGGCAGCTTTATTTCAAGTCTTATCCTTCGTCAGATATTTATTTTTCTTTTTCTGAGGCTGAGGTTTCTTTTCGAAAATCAATTGATATTAACCAAAATGGACATAACGATCTAAAAAAAGGTTTTCATTCCTTGTTTACTGGAAAATTCGTATTTGATCAGAATTTTTTAGCTCGAAGAATGAACGATTATTTAAGATGGATATGTAAGCAAAATAATTATGATTATTTATCTCATTACCTAACTCGTAATTGAATTCGATTTTATTTGTTTAGCATTGATTTTTGGTAAAGGCGAGACAAAATCTTCATTTGAAGAAATTAGTGCTCAAGGTAAAAGATTCTGTTGATTTCTTTCAGAAACAACTAGAGATAATTCTTTTTTGAATATTAGGAATCTCTGCGAAAATTGCAATAATGTCGTTAAAATCGGACAATCAAAGTAAAGAATTTTTACGAAACTCATTATCTCGAATTACATGTAATCTTTTTTTCTAAAATAATAACTTAATAACTTATCAGTATTAAATAAAGCTCTAGCTCAAATCGTCAAAGAAGGTAAATCTTCAAAATTAATTTTTTATCGAAAGATTCGAAAAGATTAATCTATTAAGCGCTTCTTTATGCTAGAGCCTAAAATAGAAAATGAAGCTGACAACTTGGAGTCAGAACGTAAGTGAATCCATTACTTGTACTTGATATTGATTTTAATATATATGATTGTGACTAACTGATTCTGTGACGGTAGTTCTTGCACTGGAAAATTGGTGATAGTGTTAGTCATTAGATGTCATGTATTTTTAGTGATTCCATTTTTATTACATTAGTTTTAATGTACTTGTATTAAAAAATATATAAAAGCATAAAAAAGCAAAAATCTCGGTCAAAATGTACATGGGGAGGTGGCCGAGCGGTCTAAGGCGCCACGTTAAGGCCGTGGTCTCTTCGGAGGCGTGGGTTCGAATCCCACC